TCCAAGCACTTTGGGAGGCTGAGGAGGGAGGATTGTTCAAGGCCACGAATTTGAGACCAGGCTGGGTAACAGGGTGAGACCCACAAAATAAAGAATAAAATTAGCCAATAGAGTGTACACCTACAGTTCCAACAACTCAGGAGGCTGAGGTGGGAGGATAGCTTGAGGCCAAGAGTTTGATGCAGTGAGTTATGAATGACTACTGCACTCCAGAATGAAAGCCAAATCTCATTTCTTAAAACAAAAAAAATGTATGTCCCTTAAAGTATCATTGATCCTATCATCCTAGGTATTTTAATTTTACTGGCTTTCAGAAAGCTCAAATTCTCTTCAGTGATAAACATCTAACCTTTTTCACAATCAATAATTAAGACTTGTTCATTAATTTGGACTCATATATACTTTTTATAATGCCTTTTTATTTCTCTGTACCTCTCTATAACTCCCCCCAGAAACCCAAAATCAGATCAGTTTTAAGTAATTTAACTGATTTGCTGTAAAGCACAGCTAGATTCCAAATCTGACAAATACTCCAATTCATGAGACACCTACAGCACTTTATCTATATTTGTACACTTTATTTAAAAACAAATAATACACTTAGAGCCACCAAAAATGGATATCTTAATTAGCTTATCCATACCCTGAATTTACAAAAGAAACTTCTTGCACCACAAAAATTAGCATTTGGATTAATTTACATTAATTGATATTATAACTAAAATTTGAAATACCTGAAGATCAAACAATCTGGCCTAGGGTTCACCAGATGGGGAGTTGAGTGTGGAGACAAAGGAGATTTAGGAATCTGAACACTGATGACACCCTAAGGTCAGCTCTAGGAAACTGAAGTTGAGAAGCCATAAAATAACCAGTAGATTTAAATATTACAAAGAAGTGGTTTCTCCTAAAAACTGGAATTAGATCATACAGTTGGGGTGGAGATTAGGGCTACTTCTTAATTTGGACTGCAAAGAGTGTGTGGAGAAAGGTATTTGTTTTCTCACAAGAGGCAAACTTCAGCCAAACAATGAGGAGAACTGCAGGGACAGTGATGATGCGGTAGAACTAAGACTTTCTGATTGCTGATAAAACCAAATTTAGCAGCTCTCTACTAAATTAAAATACATTCTCTGACACATTTTCAGAGAGGAGCTAACACACAACCAGGGAAAAAAATCATTCTACATCAACAAGGCACTCACTGGTTCACAGCCTGTTAAAAACCCAGGCAGACATTAATCTAAATTAAAATTTTCATCAGAGGGATGACAAGCATGTCAAATTGTGGTCCCAGTTAAATCAAATCTAAAGTTTGACTAGCAAAGATCCAGAAAATTCTGATCCCTAAGTACCACTTCAGGAATAATGCTAGAATAAATGGCTGGGATCTAGGGATCTCTGGCCTAACATTTGCTCTTTCTAGATTTAAAAGGATCTGTTAAATACTCTTGTCAATTTACCTATGTCAGTGTAAGAGATTTACAGTGACATAAAGACCCAGCCGGATGATGAATATGGCCAAATAAAAAGCTTTTAAGTGGCAAAAGTAAAAAGAATTCAAATCACTTACCAATGACGGCTCTTTGTTTTCAATACAGATATGTTAGTTTTCTGCACCTCCACATAAAATGAACTTCAGGAATTGATACATTACACAAAAACATTTTTGTCGTCTACAACTCTTGTACAACCTGAATCCCAGTGTCAAACACTTACTTCTGCAATTATATAAATAACTAAACAAGTAACATAATAATGGAGGCAACTTCTGAGTAAATAAAATGAATGATTATGTATTTAATAGTCTTGAAATAGCTTTCAAAGAATAAAGTAAGCTGAATAAAATTATACTTAGAACTTTTTTCCATGTAAAGTTAGTAGTAATTTGGCTCTTGGTTAAAAACATCACATAGACACACACTAACCAGAGATTAACTATCTCCACTCACTAACAACATTATGATTTTAAGCAGTTTTTTCAAAATAAAATAAAAATTAATTCTAAGCCTTTCAATCTGATTTGTGACATCTTAATATAACTTAAATGACAAAGCCTGAGAAAAGCACCAACATGAATTTTTAAATTGCATCTAACCATCATTTCAGATGTCATAAAGATTTGCTTTAGTTAATATGGCAGCAGTGACAAAGAGGTAGATATGAGAGATGCCATTTAAATACTTTATGACTATTCTTAGGTGGAATTTTAACTAGTTCAGATGTGTAATCTAAAAATAATTTTTACTAGATGAATCTTATCACATAAGAATATCATAATATGCTCTTATGTAAGGGGAAAACATATGAAGTACTAAAAAAGTGAGCCTTTAAAAAATTATATTTACTTAGCCAATGTTAAGGAGATCCCATTATTTTGGTGAACAAATAATTTTTTCTTTTACCTGAACTTGACCATAATAAAAGAGTAGCTATTTTGTCTCTACTGAAATTTCTAGGAATTCACATTCAACATTCTTGGAAAGTATGTGTGATACTCAGAAGAGCACAAAGACAGCGCATGAAATGTCCCCTGAAGTCCTAGAAGTTGAGCAGATACATTAGAAAGACATTGATGGTCACAAATCAGGACCTTCACAGATTGGTAAATACACATACGCACGCATGGGCAGGCGCATGCGGGTACACACACACTCTCTCTCTCACTGTCCCCCCTCCCCCCAACTCAATCTCATCCTCACTGTAAGGCTGCATTATATTTTTTTAAAGGCACCTCTCATTTTCTAGCTATTGCCTTCTTGGTGATATTTGTTCTGTTAAAAAGCCTGAATGTTCAATGGAAATAGTTCAGTACTAAGAATGGAGTATTTTTCAATTCACATTTGAATAGCCAGGTTTTCTTACATTCAGATTTTAATAAACTAGAATGACAGTCTTTGAAACAAGCATGCTAGCCTATAATGAATATAGTATATACAGTAATTTAAACATTTAGAACTATATATTATACTGCAAAAGCAAACAGCACAACACTCGCCATACTCATCATTATTTGCTGTGTATGCTACCTCCAAAAATGAAAATACAAAACAGTAAAATGCACCTATGGTATTTTATATTTATATATATATATGTATAGTCTATATATATTATATATATTTCTACAATATATATAATATATATTTATAAAATATACATAGATTTTAGACATTTTCAAATAAATCTTCATCATTATCTCCAAAAGAAATTTATAGCAAGAATACTGAAGGAATGAAAGTCAGATAAACAAAAAATTTCTCACAAAGTTCATTATTAGTGATACAGCTCAATTCCCCCCCTTTTAGTCATAACTAAAATGATTATAAAAGCTAAATATTTTGCATAACTAAGTATCTGTTTAATGGCAAAAATTGCTAAACTTGTTCAATAGAAAAATACTGAAGGTCATTATATCACATATGTTAAGTATCTGTCTATGGTTTGAGTAGCAAATGGGCTCCATATGACAGTTGAGTTTTGAGAAGGGTGCTGCAAGCTCCCAGAGATGTAGCCACAGCATATGAAAATAAGGCAGGGACTTGTACCTCCTGCTGATTTTCATACTATTCCAATACTTTTCATCCAAAATATTTATAAATCAAGCACTCCGACATTTCAAGGCTGCTTGAATATTGAATTTGTTCATCTTGTGAATTTTCACTAAATTTTCAATAGGCTAGGGAAAAATGAGACACATATATATGCTACTACCTAGTTGGAAGACAGCTTTGGCTCATTTCTAGGCTGAGATCATACAGTGCTAGTTTAGAAGAAACTCTCTGTGTACAGTCTCCAATGGCATAGCACGGGCTTTCTAAGAAACTTTTAACAGTTCCATCATTTGCACTACAGTCTATATATCTCATGGTTATTTCCCATCAACAGAAAAATTTCAGCCATAAAAAATAAAATCAACAGGGGAAGAGAGTGTCTTGGTCTTCAGAATTTCAGTGACATTAGTAAAGTAGGCACTGAAGATCTTGGAAAGTAATTAAAGCAATTAACTGGTAGAACAATCAATAGCTTTGTGGTTGTCCATCATAAATCTAACAAGTAAAGGGCACCTAACTCAAATTTTCAGTATCCTTCTCTAAATTTTAGGTTAGCAACACCCTTTCTTCACTCTGTGAAGAACCAAAAGAAATTTACTGAATACAATGTGGAATTCTGTATCTACATGAAAATATCAACATTCACCTGACAGCTTATGTCTAGGTCAATTCATTTGATCATAAAATGAGTCTCTGAAGTCTGCTTGTTAGCTAAAGCACAAAGATGAAATGAAAAGGTAGCTCTGTTGAAGTACTACAGCATATCTTATAACAAACAGACAAATTTAGCTTAGATTTTTATCTTTAAAGAAAATTTGCCCGTACATTGCAGAACTCTAGAGGCAAAGAAGCAGAAATTTTAAAGAAAAATATTTCAATTATTTTCCACACCACCACTAGAATACTTTTTTAAAGGAGCAGACATGCATATCATCAGTGTCACTGCTATGATAATGGAATATGTGGGAACAGGAATGTAAGAATTATTTTAATAGGCCTAAATATTTATTGATATAAGCTTTTTAAAAATCTGAGAGCCTATTGTGTACACATATTTTGGTGAAAAGGTGGACATTAATAATTTATTTATAATTTCTAGACTGGTCTCTGTCATTTGGAGCAAACAGGAAATAGTATGAGAGAGGAATGACAGCTATAGGGATAGGTCTGTATAATAGGGACTAGGTCTAGACAGTGGGGTATGGGAATCCCAAAAGTTGACCACATGTAGATCACAGGTAAGGTGGGCTGGGGGAAGCCCAGCCTTTTAAGATATGGTTTTCCACAGAAACAGTACAGATGCACTGCCCAATAAGACATGTGTATCCAATTAAACGGTGGGGAAGGGATGAGGGAAAGAGAAACAACTTTTGAGCCAACAGTTAGCCACTTAACTCTTCTATACAGATTTCTGGGAGGTTGTTCTTATATATTGATGGGGGACTTCTGGGGTACAAAATATTTGCTTTAATTAGTACTTCTGCAAAAGCAGCTGCCTGAGGTTAACCATACTCTTTGGCCTGCTAAAACAGTAATTATGAACTATTTTTGGTAGGTGTTCAGGTAACAGGTGAGAGAAAAAAAGAAAAGGCAGAGATCATCTGAAGCATGGTTATGTGGGTGTTAATAAATGAGTACTAACAAGTAACTTCCATCTTCTCAGTCACTAAAAGGTAAGATTTCATCAATATGAAATAGTCACTCTGGTACTATAAATATCACAGGAATAAAGTAAATTTCAAAATAGAAATTATTATAGAGATATGCCCTGTTTATCCTTTAAAATAAACAGAATTTCAAACCTGAATAAGTTAAGTCCTTTAGTAAAAGCAGACTCTATCAACTATTCTTCATAATGGTGAGTGCTTGACAGCTAAACTTTAGAATGGTACCAAATCTATTTTCAAAACTGTAATACAATATAGAAATCTGCTTGCAAACTATATATTTGTTTTGCATTTCTTAATAATTATATATTTAACATATTATTGCATTTTTTTCCCCTAATAGGTAAAATGCTTTGTCAGGTGCTTTATGTGAACAGCTGAAAAGAGAGCTAAATCAAAAACTCATTTTAACGTTGCCAGTCATTATACACAAAGGGGTTAGGTTAGTGTGACAGATCTGATAAAGATTACTGTTTTGACTACCTAATGTGTTTAACAAGATTTCTTAAAGGAGAACTAGGTCTAAGTTTCCGCTCTTCCCCTACTCATTCCCAGCTGTTGAGCTTTTTAATTATCCCTTGTAGCATGCCCTACTTACTCAAAAAGGACAAGCTAAACCTATATTCGCTCAGGCCTGCCTAGCGAATTAGAACCACCTCAGAAATAAAAGCGCCTATTTGGGAGAAAATTTAAAATGGTTTTCAGGCTCATAGATTCAGCCGAGCTTGCAGCAACCTGAACAAATTTTAGTTTTAGAAAACAGTATTATGAATTGCAAAACTATACTTTAACAAATGTTCTCTGTGCTCCTTCAGCAGAACAAAAGGGCAGGACAAGTTGATTCTTGCCCTTGTCTTCTGTATCTCTTTTGTGCAGTTGATTATTTATAAAGAGCTAGAAGGTAAAGATGCACTGTGTCATACAAAGACTTTCGCCAGTGCATCAGCTCCAGCACTGGCTATATAGCATTTGGATGGGTGGAATGCTACATCATGAATCGATTCTTCAAACTTTTTCCGATGAGCTGTGAATTCCTGGATACATGTCTTACTTTCTAGGTTCCATAAACGTATTGAACAGTCATGACCTAAAACAAAAGAAAGGGAATTGAAAGAAAAAATTATGTTGGCATGAAAATGGTTAAGGATAAACAAATAATCCATAGTTGATGTACTTACTGCCAGACATCAAGTAGAGACCATTAGGGTCGACTGCTAAACTTGTAACAGCTTCTAGATGGGCTACCATCGAGTGGATCAGTTTTCCTTTGGAAAAAGAGATTGTTACTTTCTATTAGTAACTATCCTTATCTTGAATATATGCCAGATACCATGTTATACTGATTTTTCTAGTCATCCCTCCTATGTTCTTACTGTATCAACAGCTTTCATTTTTTTATTGTTTTGACGAGTCTTGCTCTGTCACCCAGGTTATAGTACAGTGGCATCACCATAGCTCACTGCAACCTCAAACTCCTGGGCTCAAGTGATCCCCCTGCCTTAGCCTCCCAAGTAGCTGAGACTATAGGCACTTGCCACCAAACCCCTACAATTTTTTTGTTTTTAGTAGAGACAGGGTCTCACTCTTATTCAGGCTGGTCTCAAACACCTGAGCTCAAGGGATCCTCCAACCTTGGCCTCCCAGACCGCTAAGATTACAAGCCAGAGCCACCTTGCCCTGCCTCTGTATCAATAGCTTTTTCCATCAGCTAAAAGACACGTCTCCTTCCTGCCTCTAGTCATAATAATGATGAGGAATAAAAGAAGCTCAAATTTTTAAATTATACTTTTGCCTTTTAAACCACAGTGTGAAAGTCAGTAATTTCTATACAAACATACCCTCAAGTCATGTCCATTAATTAGAACATAGACATTATAAATCACTTATTTTGCATCCTTTAGCTACAGGTAAATTTTTTTTTTTTTTGAGAAAGAGCCTCAAGCTGCCCCCCTGGGTAGAGTGCCGTGGCATCACAGCTCACAGCAACCTCCAACTCCTCGGCTCAAGTGAGTCTCCTGCCTCTGCCTCCCAAGTAGCTGGGACCACAGGTGCCCGCCACAACGCCTAGCTATTTTTTTTTTTTTTTGGTTGCAGCCATCATTGTTGTTTGGCGGGCCTGGGCTGGATTCGAACCCGCCACTTTAGGTGTATGTAGCCACTTGAGCCACAGGCGCTAAGCCATAGCTACAGGTAAATTATATGGGTTGTGAGAGCAGAGTTCAAATTCACAAAGAGAAAAGACTGAGACAACAACAAAAAAGATGAAGACTTTCCTCTTTTATGTTTACATGGATGGAGCTGGAACATATCCTACTTAGTAAAGTAACTCAAGAATGGAGGAAAAAGTATTCAATCTACTCAGTACTATTATGAAACCAATTTACAATCACTCACACTTTCACATGAAAAATAGATCACAACTGTGGCCCAGGATGGAGGAGTTAGGGGGAAGATGGGGGGGTGTCAGATGGAGGAAAGGTGAATGGTGGGATCACACCTATGGTGCGATCACACCTATGGTGCACATTGCAAGGGTACATGTTGGATCTACTAAGTATAGAGTATAAATGTCTTAACACAATAGTTAAGTAAATGAGGTGAGGGATATATTAACCAGTATGATGTAAGCACTCCAAACTGTATATGAAATCAGCACACTGTACCCCGTAAATACATTAATGTATACATGATCTACCTCTTTATGATTTAATAAAAACAAATAAACAAACAAACAAAACAAAGGAATAGAAAGAAAATATGCCCACAATTTTGGTGAAAACATACAGAAAGAAATTTAAAATATTAAATGACTCATCACTAGCAGTTAAGCTAAGTGAGCAAAAGTCAACATGGGAACAAACTAATAGCAGATATTGTGGTAACTACGGCAGTAACATAGGGTGCTTTCTTTCTAGCAAAGCTCTTCATGAATTTCCTTTAGACTGGTGTAACGTAATCCAATAAAAATCAGGAAAGCCTCCATGCTCAAAGTCAAATCCATCAGGACCAAAATCATCATTATTACCACACAGAAAAGATTAGTCCATGAAATATGAATGAAATAAACCAAATGACCTGGGAGTTTCCCATCACAGCACTAGATACAAGGCTATTCAATGACTGAATTAAATACTGAATAAGTCTACTTAGTAACTGAACAATTTTAAACAATATAATGGTCATATGCCTCTACTGCTAACATTTTTCTAGTTTCCTCCAATATAATACATTAGATAACAGCAACAGATCATACTTATTGGCATTGGAATAATTTGTTCCTGGAGTCCCTAGTGATAATCTTGGCTCTAGGGCCTAAATATAGCGCCATTTACTATTTAATAAACCGAACAATTCTGTATTATATCATGAAGACTGGTCTTAGAAGATTTGAATGAATGTAAACTGAACAGGGAGACTATTTGTGTTTCCTTGCCTACTACTTGATTACAAAAGCCACCAACAGACTCAAAAATTAGCCTACTTGAAACAGGGATTTTTTTGCTTTAACATAATTAACTCTTTATAAGTTCTTACCTGTATTATTATCATAGAATTTGATATGCCTGTCTTCATGAGCAGTGATGCTGATAGGAAGAGTGGGATGACTAATGACTCTATTTATCTGGCAGGAAAAGCTGGTTGCTTAAAAAAATTAAAAAGCAACACAAATGAGTCAAAGATATTTTTGACACAAAGCAGGACTGAATACTCACCTTAGAGACTGAAAAAGTAAATTTGTTAATTTACTGGAAAAGTAAATTTGTCTTTTATTTATTCTAGGATTGTTTCCATGATGTCAATGTTGACATTGCCTGAGAAATGAGAACTGCCTGAGCTATGTTATACTGATAAATCTACAGGTATCTAAGAATAAAAATTTCCTTTCCACCACTTGCTAGGTATGGGTGTCATCTAAGGCTCAGCCTAGAGCCACTGACATTTCACATTCTACAATGTTCTGTAACATTTTTGCTATTTTAACATAAAACTCCATCATGATTTACATGGAGATATTTCTCAAATTTAAATCTCAGCTCTTTTTTTGCATACAAAGCTCTTTATCACATAATTATCATCTAAAGATAATGTGATAGTTTCTTAAGTCTTCTCTTTTTTAGTTTTCCTCACCATAATAGAAATGGTCATCATTTGATAGTACAAGGTTTGTAATCTTAAAATAGTCAATATCCTAACAGCATTTTTTGTGTACTATTTAATAGCTTTCACAGAAATCCCAATTAAATGCACAATGAAACACATAGACCACATAACATTAAGCCCCTATTATAGTGAACACACCAAGGTCCAGAGAAATCTGTGACTCCCCCAAAATCAGGAGATAAAACCAGGTAACCAAACAGTACCTATTCCGTCATCTAACTCTATCTCAAGCAGATGGCTCATGCTGATCAGACAACTCCCATTAGAAGTTCCTCCTCAGAACTTTTTACCAAAAGGAAATTGATAATTAAGAATTTAAATTTAACTAGTGGTTTTTATTAAGTTTCTTTGTGAGAAATTAGAAAAACTAATTTAAGGTACGTTAAAGTTTTAAAAAATTATATCATGTTCCAGGGAGAAGATGCCCTTATAAAATACATTACTGGGACAACTGCCAAAATTTGAATATAAACAGTAACAGTGTTGTGTCAATGTTAAACTTTCTGATTTTAAACACTGTAATATGCTATGTCAGATCATGTCTTTGTACTCAGGAATTATATGCTAGAAGATCTAGGGAAATAAGGGCATGAAGTCTCTCCTGTGGTTCAGAATCTAAAATTATACAAATATATAGAGGGCAATAAAGAAAATGTGGCAAAGTGTGCTAAATGTCTGCTAAATGTGGGTTAAAGGGTACCCCGGACTTCTTGTGTTATTTTTACACCTTTTTAGTGAGTTTAACATTATTTCAAAGAGTTAAAAATTTTTTTTGAAATCCGAGAATAGGTATCATGAATTTAACATTCACATAATAGAAAATAGACTAAAAATAATCTTATTCAATTTTCATGTTGTTCCTAGAAATATGACATCTTAAAAATAGTCTTTTTCCAATACTAGTGGCAGGTGATTACTCAGGCTGTTTTTGTTTTGTTTTGTTTTTTGCAGTTTTTGGCTGGGGCAGGGTTTGAACCCGCCACCTCCAGCATATGGCATCAGCACCCTACTCCCTTGAGCCACAGGTGCCACCCCACTCAGGCTGTTATTAAATGCAAAACAAAAAAGTCATTTGACCATGTAGGTCAAATGCTCTTCTTGGTCAGTCAGTAGTACTTTTTAAAGATAATCCTCAACAAAGAGATAACACAGTTTTAGAATCCAATCTAAGGATTTTTTTTCTCCACAGATAACACACCATCAAGTAATATCCTCAGTAAGGTCTAGCAAGAGAAAAACAATAACAATAAAAAAGAAATACTTTAAACGAAATATCTCATACATTCTGAGAGAGAAATTTCAGAGAACAGCTTCAATTACTTTGAGAGTTACTAAAAGAATACGATAGAAATCAAATCATGAAAGCAGGCCAAAAAAAGTTGTTACTGGTAACACTGTTGAAGTTTCATTACCTGATGGTAAATCAGAGAAGTTGGCAAAATGCGAAGAACCCTAGAAATGAACTGAAAGCCTAGCAGCATCAACCTAATAATGAATCTAAAATAACCCTCCAAATATTCATATTCAGCTTATGACTTATCTACTTCAACTACCTTTGATTTTATCAGTCAAATCATCATTGACATCAATGAGAAGGGTAATTTATTCTTGTTCTTACAATAAATATCCTTTTAAACTCTCTATATGAAATTCACTTTTACCCTGAAGCAAGTTTGTTCTTGAACTTTAATTTTTAAAAATCTTCTAAATTCCAGAATAGAACATAAGCAAATATAAACAGCAGTGAGGTCAACCACAGTAAGACATAATAAAAAACTAACTTAAGTTTGCTTCATATAATTCTAAAAGTAATATAACTAGTAACTGGGGAAATGTCAGGATATATTATTCAAAATGATCATCACTTATTCCAATAATGCTAAAATGCTGCCTTTGTTTCTTAGCAATCTTCTTCCAAAAATGTTTCCAGTATCAGGCAAAACATCTTACTACTTTATGGTCACATCTCTTGGGGGGAAATATGGGATTGCCTAGTTCACTCTATCCATTTTGCTCATCAGACCTGAAGTCTTAACTTGTAGCAGTCATTAAAAATCAGTTATTTGCCACTCAGATTATTCAAAGAATTGGCCAAAACCTTTGAAAGTAATTCCAGAAATGTTCATATCATTTTTAATTTGATACTGGTCTTTTATTTGACTACTGTAGCTTTAGGTCATATATTTAAATATGATTTTAAATTTACTGAGAGCTTAAAACCTATGTTTCTTGGCAAAAAAAAAAATTCTTTTTCTAATTCTATAATCTCAATTTTTATTTCCCGTCTCTCTCTTTCTACACCAAAATAGCTCAAAATTCTATCATGCCTACTTTCCCAAACAGGTCACACAGCGTATCAGAACAAAACAAAGAATAACAGATTAGAAAGGAAAAGTAAAAAAGACCAAAATGGAATGAGGGAAAATTTTGAGAGAGGAGGTGGCGAGGGGCGACAAGCGTATGGACACACAATGCACATGTATGTGTTCACATACACGTGTGTGTATACACCATACAATTACATTAAAAGCTAGTTCTCAAACTGCAACAACAGTGTATGTGGTTTTCTTTATCAACTTTGACCTAAATTGTGATTGTCATGACTGAAATTGGAAAACAGTGGTTTCAAAAGCCAAACCCCAGAAAGATTCTACACTCTCTTTATCGTCTAAAAAAACCACTTACTTCCTAACTTCCTGCATCCAACAAGAAAGCTTGGATTTTTAATTCTGAGAGCCACAATGTGATCTATATTCTAATTAGTATTGAGCTGTATCAAATTATATTATGAATATAAAATGAAATTGATAAAAATAATGGAATTATGAGAAATATGAACAAATTTTATTTTCTATTCAGAATATTGCTTTTTTCAAACAATTAATAAATTAATCATTTTCTATAAAATTAAACTTGACTTGTCTTTGCAATGGCTCAAATGTTATTTCAAATGTTAGAAATGTACATAAACTTAACCTGAATTCTGAAAACCAACTATATACCTTTCTAACTGTGTTCTGAGATTTAGAAGGCAGACCACTTTATAATGACAAGTATTCTTCATAATTGTTGACTTCAGTAGTTATGATTTTGATTACACTAAAAAATTAATCCAAACACAGCTTATTTAAAATCAGCATACATACATGTATCTAGATTTGATTCTAAAGTGAGGATGCGTTGTTGGGTTTCCATGTTAAAGATGCTTGTATATCCTTTGCTGAATGATGCTACCATATGGCTTGGGTCGCTGCTTACTAGATCCACAGAGGCAGGGATTCCCAATTCTATAAGAGAGTCAAAGAACGGCAGTTAAAGTGTCTATTTGACAATATGCTTAAAATATAGCAAAAAAAAATAATGGTGTAATTTCCTTAAGTAGTAAACAAGGCTTGCCATAAGAATAGGAATTAGCTCATAACTATTCAATGGAGATTATTTCCAATTGTTATTTATTGTTAGAGTCACGCAAATATCAAATGAAAACACATTAAAACCTAGAAATAAGCTATGATAGCTCAAGAACAAAATATTTTTATTTGCCATCTAAATAGGTAAAAGTTAAAGCTTATTTATAAACATAAAAAAATAGAATATATCAAATGAACGGTGATTTTTTTTTTCATTTTGCTCAGGAACAAGCTAATAGTTGAAAAATACATGTACTGCAGAAGATACACAAATGCTGATAAGCAGACAAAAAAAACTGCTCAACATAATTAGCCATCAATGAAATGCAAACTAAAATGAAATACCATTGCACTCCTGCCAGAATGGCTAAAATGCCAAGTATTGGTGAGGAAGTAAACAACTGGAACTCTCATACATTGCTGTTGATGGTATAAAATGGCACAACCATAAAATTTTTAGAAAAAATTTGTCAATTTCATATAAAGTAAAATGAACACTCACCTGAAAGCCCAGTAATTCTACTTCTAGGTCTCTACCTGGCTATCATAAAAATATATGAAGGTTCACAGCAACCTTGTTTATAATAGTAAAAAACTAGAAACAAGCCAAATATCCATTAGGAAATAAACAGACAAATTGTGGTTTAATGGAACACTAGTAATAAAAATTTTTTAAATTGATAACATGGAGGAATTGCAAAAACATTATGGTGAGAGCAAAAAGCCAGGTACAAAAAGAGTACATACTGTATTATTTCATACATTTGAAGCTTTAGGATACACAAAACTGATCTTTGATGAAAAAATCACAACAGTGTTGAGAATGGGGAAAAGTGATTGACTAGGAATGACATGAAAGAACTTTGGGAAGGCTAAGGAAATGTTTCTGTGTCTTGATAGCTGAATGAATTACAAGGGTATACCCACTTACCAGACTCACTGAAATGTACCCTTAAGGTTTTTGTTTTTCTTTTTTGCAGTTTTTGGCTGGGGCCTACCACCTCCAGCATATGGGGCCAGCGCCCTACTCCTTTGAGCCACAAGTGCTGCCCATAAGATTTGGTTTTTACTGTATATAAATTATATCTCAATATTACACAATTTAAAATCTGTGTGTTCTCCAAGTATTATGGTTTTAAAAATTACATGTAAGTTGGAAATTCAAACAAATACACTTTTGCTGCTTCAAAAACCTTCACTTTAAATTTAAAGAGTTTACAAGAATCATTTATTTGCTTGCTTGTTTTCAGAATAAGATGTTTTATTGAAGAGTCAGCAGAATATTTTTTTAAGTATGTACCTTGATTATCATTAAATACACTTAGAGCTGGAGCAACCTCTGTTGTATTCCATAAACGCAGAGTGCCATCTGCTGAGCAGGACAACAAACGCTGATGTGCTGCACTGTATGCCAAACCCCAGACTGCATCTGTGTGGCCAAGCAGAGGGCCTCTTAACACAGAAGGATCTGTACAAAACAGCAAAAAATGGAAAATCAGGAAAAAACCCCAAAATCATAAAGGTCCCTAGATTCCAGAGAAAGTAAACTATATAAAAGAAAGTATCCAATAACAGTATAAGATATGATGGTTAGTTTGTATTACTCTTCTGAAATGCTGCAGTAATTAAAAACAGGCTTGGAAATATGCAAATACAGGGTTTAAATTTCAAAAATCAAAATTAGACGCATATATTTTTATCCTTTAAAAAATTAGGTATTTCTTTCCCCCTTCCTTTTGTCCTTCCATAATTGTCTACACTCTTAAACAGCATGTTAAGTCTAAATCATGTGAATTTAATCTACCTTTGGAGAAATCAAATATCACACTCCCTGGGGAAGTGAAAAGAGAGACCTTCCCCTCCTCTGAAGTCCTTCAGCACTTTGGTTATACCTCTTTCTGGCCACATATCCTACTGTATGGTGAATGTTAGACCAGTTATTCCTGAAAGTATGACGTACATAATGGGCAGAAACTGACACCTTTAGGAATCCCCAAATTCCCAAATACCAGCAACTGAGATATGGAGGATGTGTATGTGGAGAAAGGGCAAGGGAGGGGGGAAGGTCACTTAGAATAGTTTCATAAAAGTCAAACTGGAAGCTTTATTAATCCTCACAATGATTTTCTGAAGTGGTACTTTTAAGATACAGATGTTAAGTCTAGAATGCCAAGGATATTACGTCTTACATCCTCTCTCAAACATACCATAAAATATTCATTAAAGACACATTATGTGTCAAGAACTATGTTTGATAAGGGAGCCAAACAGATGATATACAATTACTATCCCTTTCCTCAAAACACAATGTTAAAAATACAATAATAGTGACAGACACCAGTTACCACAAAGCATGCATAACTGGGATGAGTGACAATGTAGAGAGAGTGACACCCAGAGTGTACACATGTCCGCTAGAGAAAAAGAGAGTAAGTGTGCCTGGCAAAGAGGCAGCACCTACAAAACCCCAGAAGAAAAAATAACATGACAGCAAGAAAAATTATAAGCATTTTGGTATTAGTGGAGTGTAGAGTTTGAGGTGGGATTCCTATGATGTATTAAGGAACTTGGAAATTATCCTGAAAGTAACATGGAACCACTGAAGGGTTTCCCAGGAGCAGCAGGGTGATGTAAATATTTAATACAGTAACACTGGCTATGGTAGAGGAGACAGAGTAGAAGGAATCAAGATGAAGATAAGGGAGCTGTTTCAGTAGAATGGAAGAGTGATGATAAATACCGAAGCAAGGGGCAGTGATAACAGAGTCAGAGCAGGAAAAGTAAATTCTAGAAATATTTAGGGAGTCATTCCCCCAAAACTAGGTAATTAAATAAGTGTAGACAGCACAACAGACCAGAGAATCAAGGATAACTCTTAGATTTCTATTAATAGTTTGGGTAATTCCGGCAGTGCCACCAACTAAAACAGAATGTACCAGAGAAGAAACACAGAACACGCTGGGATTTACAGACCATGAGACAGCCGCTTTGAAATTTCCTGTAGGCAGTCTCAAGCTTAAAGTGTATGAGTCAATAGCATATAAAACCATAAAAGTGAATTAAATCTCCCAAGAAAAGTTTGTACAATGCAAGGAATGAGTTAGGGTCTCTGTGTTGATAAATGCCAACATTTAAAATCAAGAAAAGAAAGGAGTTCATGAAGGATAGGGACATAGTCACGAAGAATAAAAATCCCAACAGAATAGACAGATTTCAGAAAGGATGAAGTTGTTAACAATCTCAGGTTCAGTGAGTAAAATAAGGATTGTAAAATGCCCCCAGATCAGGCAATTAGGAAGTCATTGACAATCTTGTTATGTTTAAATGATGTAACCAGAAGCCAGAATGCAGAGAGGGATAACACACAGAGAATGAAAGTGGAACTAGTAAGTAGTTATGTTTTCTAGACAACATCATCAAAGAAACACATACGAGGAGACAAAAAGAGAGTAAAGAGAAGCCAAAGAGGAAAATGAAGTCAAAGTACAGGCTTTTCATTGTCCAGGATGAAATTACCTGGATTTACTTACATGCTGAGGGGACAGAGAGAGAGCAAAGAGTCCCAACTACTCAGGAGGTTGAGGCAAGAGAATCACTTGAACCCAAAAGTTTGAGGTTGCTGTAAGCTATGCCACCATAGGACTCTACCCAGAGAGACAGACTGAGACCCTGTCTCCCTAAACGGGGGAGGGAACTCCCAGTTGGTCCTCTGGGAGAAAGGGAGAGGAAGTAAGGAAAAGCATGAAACAGCTAAATTCGTGAGAAGTTACCCTTCACAGAATATTTGTTTAATGCTTATTAAATGTTGGGGAAAATTTTTGTTTATTGAATTTCTTATATTAGATTTGGTGGAAAGATGAATCTAAAGAGATAATGAAAGTAGAATGTTTTATGACAAATAAAGACACTTCAACCATTCTAGAACTTAAGGTGAAACCAAAATAGCTAATTCCTAGTTTTTACAAGGGAATTTTTGGTAATATCTAGTGATACATTATAATGTGGATTTATGACTTACAGTACTGCTCCCGAGACTAAAGGGTACTTCTTAACTTTTGAGGCCTTTAAAGTATTTTGGTGTAATGGACTTTAAAAGTTATTAGCTGGTACATCCCTCTAATAATTGATCAAGGGAATGATGCCAACATTCATTTTTAAAACAGTGATGAAATATGATTACAGGTAAGTAACAATGTATTAAGTACTATAAAGATACCTAAATTGAAGAAAACAATTGTTAATCAAATGTTAATCAGGCTCAGCGCCCATAGCTCAAGTAGCTAAGGCTCCAGCCACATACACCAGAGCTCGCAGGTTCAAATCCAGCCCAGGCCTGCCAAACAACAATGATAACTACAACCAAAAAATAGCCAGGTGCTGTGGCAGGTGCCTGTAGTTCCAGCTACTTGGGAGGCTAAGGCAAGAAAATTTACTTAAGCCCAGGAATTGGAGGTTGCTGTGAGCTATGATGCCATGGCACTCTACCTAGGGTGACAGCCTGAGGTGCTGCCTCAAAAAAACAAACAAATGTTAATCAGCATTTCCAATCAATGAAATTTCAAGGGTGGGGATAGGAACTGTTTTCTCATGAAGACCTTTTTAACATAAAGATGTGGTTCTCTTTTACATAATTTTAAAAATATTTGATCTTATCCTTATAAATACTATAACAAAATGTGTAGAAAGAAAACATTTTATTCTTTCAAATTTTGAGGAATTACATACCATAAGAGTCATAGGGATCGATGTTAGGATTAGTGGTATTCCAGCCCTGGATCAATCCATCAGTACCACCACTATAACACTGCTCACCATTGCTACTCATTACCACACAAAGCACTGGACCTCTGGGAGATTATTAAAAAAAAAAATCAATTGCAGTCCCGAAATCAATCTGATAATATGACTTGTTAAAAATAAGAATGTTCAATTACTCAAATGGTTTTCTATTTTTCTGCTTTTTGTAATGAGTAAAACTATAGGTACTTTTGTGTGAAAGCATTGTTTATCTTCTTCTGCTAAATCATGAGTTGGCCTGCAGACCAAACCCAGTGGTCAGTGTCTATATAGTGTTTAAGCTAGGAATAGCTTCTATATTTTTACAGGGTTGTAAAACAAAACAAAACAAAAAATGAGAATATGTAACAGAAAGTATACAGCCTGCAAAGCCTAAAATATTTTAAAGCCTAAAAGCCTATAGACTTTTACTGTCTGACTCTATATAAAAAACATACCTATCTCTATGCTAAGTCAAGTGAACAGACACATTCCTTAAGCTTATATGGAAACAAGATAAACATGCAGTATGTGAGCACAATAAAAAATCTTAAAAAACTCTTGTTAAGGGAAAAAAGGTCAGAATTTCTAATATGTAAACCTAATTGCCTCAACTTTAAGAGAGAGCTATACATCATTTAAAGATCATGCAAATAAAAATTTAAGGAAGGATTCCTACTTGGCAGTGACAAACTTGTTTACAGTATTATATTACATACCAGTTTCTTTTGCATTTACCAAAAAAACTAATAAATAAAAAAATACATAACAAAAATATACAAGTAAATGCAATATATCATAATTAGGTTATTTTACAATGATGTTGTTTTAAATAAATAAAATGCATATACTTACTTATGGGCTCTGAATGTATAGATAGGCTCTACATCAAGAGACGTACTCCTAAATCAGACAAAGAAGACTTTTACCACTCTAAGTTTCAGTAGTGAACACTATATAATTGAATATAAACCATAAAATTGCCTTTAGAAATACAAACATTATGGTAACATAACATTCTCAACTATAGGACACATAAAACAGCTTACTTAACATCAATCACGTTTTCATAGTATCAAGAAAACAAGACCCTTGTTTAGTAATAATATGCTGTCAATAGTGGTTTTAGCAATGTTAGAATTTATTTGACTAAAGGAAGAGACAGCATCACTCAAGAGAAGCAAAGTGGGCTTTGAGGGGATAAGTTTCTGAATCCAATTTCCAGTTCTGTTATTAACAGGCTAACTTTAGACAAGTTATTTTATCTTACAGAATTTCAGACTCCTGTTTTATTCACAGATTAAAGAAACTCTACTATCAAAAAAATAGCCCAGGACCAAACCATATATACATCAGGACTTCAACAAATGGTACTTTAACTTCCTTGCCTTTCCATGAATGTTAATATGTCTATCTTTCATATTGCACAAACCGCTCAAGACTTCAGTTTATTACATAGAACATTATATTTAGTTATAAACATTATAACTAAACTAACACTGGCCATAACTGTCAATAGACACTGGATTTAAAATCAAGTACTTACCATTTTCTACATTGTATTGAAGTTATTTATAGGCATGTTATCGCCCTTCAAGTCATTACCAAGTTTTAAATTCAAAGGTAAACATACTACTGTTGTTACCACCACCAAGAAACTTGTTTTAATATCTTTCTAAATTTTAATAAAGGATATATGATGAGAAATTCACATCTCTAGCCTAATGTGATTGTGATAGAACTGTAACTAGCACATGTGGCCAAACAGAAAGATAAAAGGCACAATGTCGGCAGGGCACAGTGGCTCATGCCCATAATTCTAGCACTCTAGGAGGCTGAGGCTGGTGGACCGCCTGAGCTCAGGAGTTTGAGGTTTAGTGAGACCTCCTCCCTACTAAAAATAGAGAAACTAGCCAGGCCTTGTGGCAGGTGGCTGTAGTCCCAGTCACTGGGGAGGCTGAGGCAAGAGGATTGCTTGACCCCGGGAATTTGAGGTTGCTGTGAGCTATGATGCCTTGGCACTCTACCCAGGGTGCCAGTGAGACTCTGTCTCAAAGAAAAAAAAAAGGCACAATGTATAAACTGGATATAAATTTTCTCTGTTGAACATAACTGATCCATGTGAAGGTCCAATTCGGTTTATGCAAAATCAGGTCGATCTGATGATAAATTAATTATTTTATCTGCCCTCTTTATGATTCACAGCATGAATGCCTCTGATCTCTTTTAAACTGGGCAACAAATTTTCTCTACCAGTAGTAAAATTTATGTAACCTCCTCCAGTTGATGTTAAGTTATACTCTTATAATAACAGAAGTGCTGGCACTGGAAAAGGGCCTTTGTTAGCACATGCTGGTTCTGAAACATTCGACCAAGGAAGGAAGGGAGCTCCAATAAGGACCCAAACTAATAGGATGATGTTTAGCTATGCAACTGACTAAGGATTTATCTGTATTAACTTATGTCTATCCATGCTTAGGCAGCAACCAAAAGGCCAAAGCTAGCACCAGCAATTAAATGATGACAACAATAGCACCTTTCAGTCTAAGACACATTGGTGGTATGGAAAGTACCTGAAGGCTCAAGGCCAAAATAAAAGACAAAAGAGAGGTTCTCCACCCTTCCTAATCAGCCTTTCCTCTCCTCCACCCTGTAATCCAAACCTAGTAAACAACAGAGGCAGGATAGGGGTGGATTGATTATTTTGAACATAATAATTGTATGTAAGAATACTAGAAAGAAAAATAGGAGAAACTTTTGGTATAGGTAAGGGGCTCCCCAAACATGACAGCCATTTCAACACTTGCATGTATAAGGACTATAAATGAGCATTCACAAACCTTGGGGAGGCTGAGGCTGGTGGACAATACCATATCTTTCTAAGTGGTCAGTTTTCCAATCTAACATTAGATTGTATAAAGGGAAAAACACTCTAAATTACGTGATGAGGTAAAGAAGAAAAAACAAGAAGAAATATTTGGGAAATTCAGTAGCAAGAATAACATTTGTAATTTTTGTGCTGAAAAGCTGTTAATTAAACTATTCAAATAATGTTAAAATAGAATATTCTCACTTTTTGGCTGGGGCTGTTTTCTGCAAATTCCACATTTTTAATGTGTGGTCCTCTGATGCTGTAATCAAAACAGGCTCAATGGGGTGAAAAGCAAGGGCTCTGATGCCATCGAAGTGACTTCTTAATGTAAACTTAGGGTTCCATGTCTTCCTCAATGCATCTTTATTGTTTGCTATCTATTAAAGAAACAAAACAGAGATACCTACACATTCAGTTAAGGACAGAGAAAAAGCCCCCGAATTCCAACATTAATTTTTGCTGATCTGTCATTAAACCACCACATTTTATAATTTTCAAAACAATATAATTTTTTAAAATATAAATACCAAACCAAGAGGCAAAATTAGCAATATGCCAGCAGTAATTTTCTTGAAGAAATATGAAAGGTATAATAACAACATAATTCAATATAAAAAGTGAATCAAATAATAATGTAAACTAGATATTCACTAGGTGCTAAAATACCAAGTAGCGTATGGACAGTGTGACTTTGGGTAAGACCTGAAAAACTAAGTTATCTTTAAACTGTTAACATTTTAGAATATGATCATACTTTTAAGATTTTCAATATTTTCTAATAGGAGCTAAATTTTCTACATCAAACTAGAAATAAAGTTTACAAACTGGAAACAGAAAATGTTAAAAATGAAGAGATGATCAGATATTATAAAGAATACATTCCATTGGTTAAAAAAAACCAAAACACTTTTAAGTTCTTTCTCTCCAAGGTAATTCTAGTTCAACAAGTAGAAAAATACACTGTTTTTTTCCATTTCAACTAACAAGTAAGCTAAAAGAGGTAGCTGGTATTTAACTTTAAGTGAGCACCGCATATGAACTGAACTCTTCATACTCCAAGGCTAGCAATCACCCAAGGTTTAAACAAGAGTGGCAAAATACAGTAATGTTATATAACTACATTTCAGTCAACAATGGACCACATACATACGTACGATGTTGATCACATAAGACTGTAACAAAGCTGAAAAATATCATCCAGTGATGCTGCAGCTGTGTGTTTGTGTTGATGCTAGTGTAAAGAAACCTACTGTGCTGCTAGTCATGAAAGTTGAGCATACAAAATTATATATAGTACATAGTACTGGATAATGATAATCAACAACTATGTACTGGTTTGGTATGTACCATACTATACTTTATATCTTTAGAGTATATTTCTTCTGCTTATTAAAAAAAATCAACTGTAAAACAGCCCCAGGCAGGTCCTTCCAGAGATATTTCAGAAAAAGGCACTGATATCAAGGAGATGATGGCTCCATGCATATTATTATCCCTGAAGACTTTACAGTAGGATAAGATGTGGAGATGGAAGACAGCAATATTAATTAATGACCATGATCCTATACAGCCTTGGCTAAAGTGTGTGTTTGTATCTTAGCTTTTAACAAAAAGTAAAAAAGTAAAAATTTATTATTGAAGAAAACTTTTAAAATAAACTCAGTGTGCCCAAAGTAGTGTGCAGGCTTTCACATTCATGCATCACTCACTCACTGACTCACCTGCACAACTTCTACTCCTGAAAGCTCCATTCTGGTAAGTGCCCTAGATTGGCATATCATTTTATATCTTTTGTGTTGTATTTTTACTATACTGTTTCTGTGTTTAGTTATGTTTAGATACACAAATACATAGCATTACAATTACCTACAGTACTCAGTACTATAACATGCTCAACAGGATTTTAGCCTGGAAACAATAGGTTATAGATTGTAAAACGCTGACATGTAGTAGGTTATACCATCTAGGTTTATGTAAGTCTAGAGAAGGGGTCCTCAAACTTTTTAAACAGGTGGCCAGTTCACTGTCCCTCAGACCGTTGGAGGGCCGGACTGTGGGCCCCTGGACAAGTCAGCTGCTAAGCAGGACAGGCAGTGGTGGCAAAAACCCCCTGCAGGCTGAATAAAATGTCCTAGGCCGGCTGCACATGGCCTGTGGGGCTGTGAGGATGCCTGTTCTCGAGGATATTCACACAACAATGAAATTGCCTAATGATGCATTTCCTAGACAATATCCCCATTGTTAAGCAACACATGAGAGTATTGGTAAAAGGCAGGAGAAATATTACCATATTTATAACAAAAATACAGCAATACAATAGCTGGCTATACTGAGCATTGTCCATTATTCTGAACATTATTCAAAATACTTTCTGTGTATTAACTGACTTAATCCTCCGGGTAACTATGAAATAGGAGGTTCTTGCCTAAAGAACCCTGCTAGTACATAAAAGGACTTAGAATCAAACCCAAGTAGTCTGGACTTGGGGGGTCAATATAAACAATAATGCAGAACCCAGAAGTTTAAAAATCTGCAGAAAAAATTGGATAGAACACAATTAGAGTGATAAAGAAAACATAAAACATATCATGTAAGGAACTACTATACGAACTGGGGCTGGTTATCCTGAATCTTGTCTGCTTTTATTAAATACCTGAAAGGTTTTTGTATGTAAGAACAATCAGAGTCCTTGTGAATGTTTTAATGCGGTAGACAGCCACAAATATGGTTCCCAGTCAGCTCCATCTCCTTATACTTAAATACACACAGTGTTGGGTTGGTCTCGTGACCAATGGCATATGGAAGTGATAACAAGTTACTTCCAAAATTAGGTTATAAAACCTGCTATCTGAGCATTATCTTTTTTATCTGAACATTATCTCTTTTCATGTACACTCACATTGGGGATAGCCAGCTGCCATGTTGGGAAGTCTATGGAGAGAGCCATGTAGTAAGGAACAACAGTCTCCAGTCAATAACCAGCAAAGAATCAGAGTTTTCCAATAACTGCGTGAGAAGCTTGAAAGCAGACCCTCCCTAAGTTTAGTCTTCATGTAAAACTGCAGCATTTGCCCAACATCTTGACTAAAGCTATATACATTAAGATCTGAAGCCAGAATCACATAGCTAAGCTGCTCCCAGATTTCTGATCCATAGAAATGAGAAGATTATAAATGTTTTTGTTTTAAGCTGTTAAATTTCAGCATAATTGTTATGCAGCAACAGATTACTAATATGCTTAATAAAATGAAGAACTACTATTGAAAACACAGTGACAGACTTAATACCAAGTTTTCTAACATTTAAGAGCTATGAAAAAAGAATGAGTTTTTTCTAGAGAAAAAAGAATCATTAAATACTAGATGGGGCAGTGCCTGTGGCTCAGGAAGTAGGGTGCTGGCCCCATATACTGGGGGTGACGGGTTCAAGCCCGGCCCTAGCCAAAGAATGCAAAAAAAAAAAAAAAAAGTACTAGATAAACTTTCTGTGGGGTTAGTATGGAGATAACTGAAGTACCTAGTGGGAACTTCTGCCCCTACCATGACGAACTAGGTAATGTGGAGCACCTCTGCACAAGGACAGGAAGAAAAACAGATATTTTTTTTTTTTAAATTAAAAACTAGTGAAAAAAAACCAGGCCAAGATCCAGGAGAAGGCAGAAGCCTAAAAAGCTAGGCTCAATATTTAGGGTGGTTTTTCCCCAGATAGTGTTTACTGATTCCAGAGGGAACAGCTGAGAACCTGAGCAATACTTGTGACAGCTCTACAGTGCCACAGAGATACAAATTGATGTTGAAGACCTGCCAAGAGAGTGAGGCTAAGTGAACCACTTTGCTCTGAGTTGTGATTTCAAAGAGTTTCGTGCTAGACATAAAGGTGAACTAGAAGAAGCCAGACCCTTGAATGGGACTGTAGATCAGCTTTAGGTCATCTTAAAAATTAAAAATGGAATGAAGTCATCCCAGATTTCTAACAGCTGCAAATATCTAAGAAAAACAAATTAAAATACATTCTCTGGAGGAAGATATCATCCCAGGTCTGAAGTTATTTCTATAGACAACTTTCTAATACAGTTATCTGAACATGGAAAATTATCAAGCACATAAGGAGGGAAGACGATATAGATCAAAATAAACAGAACTAACATATAATAGCAACGGAACTATAGAGTCTCCCACTCAACTTTAATATACCCATGTTTACTATGTTCAAGAAGATAAAAGACTAGAAATTTTGAAAAAATTTCATGAATAAAAATAAATATTCTGGAAACAAAAGCTAGAAAACCTCATTAGGTATGTTTAACAACAGATTATAAATTACTGAAGAGAAGTTAAGTGAACTGAAAGATGGGTCGCAAAAAAATAAAGAAAAGGATTAGAAGATGGAAATTACAAAAACAAAATCTAATATACATATAATTAAGTTCCAGAAAGAGAGAGATAGGCGCAAAAGCAGTATGTGAAGAAAAATGGCCGAGAACTTTATAAAACTAATGAAAACATATTAAGCCAAGAAAATTTAAGAATTTCAAGAAAGCTAAAAAGAAAGGAAACCAAACCTTGGCTGAAAATGAAGACAGATAATATTAGAGAAAAAAACTCAGATTACCATTAAATGACCAACAACAAAAATGACTGTTGCCTTTAGCAGAAAAAAATACATTAATATGTTTAGACTGAAAAAGAAAATACCTCTCCCAACTGAGATTCAATGTGCAATAATGAAATAACAGTTAACCCACTCAGGCTACATAAAGAAATTTAAGAAAATCAGAAACTGAGAGAACTAATTAGGCACTGGTAGACTTTCACTAAGGAAATATTGAATTGTTCTTAGAGGGAAAGTTATCACAGTCAGACACAAAAGAATGAAAAGAAGCAAAATGTATAAAATAATAAGTAATATAAAATGTAAAGTAAATAATCCTAAGTGTAAGAGATAAATATATTTATAAATATTAATAAAAATCACATATTGATAGGGTGGAAGTTAACAGTATCCTATGGTCATTGCATAGATCTTGATAAAAATATATGTGATAATCTCTAAGATAGCCATTAAAGGAGTAACAAAAGAAAAAGTAAGTAGGGGGGAGGTGGAGCAAGTTGGCAGATTAGAAACAGCTCCGTACTAGCCACTCATGATGAGACAGGGGAACTAGAACTCCAGCCATTTCTGGCTAGGGGAACTTATGCAGGGACATCACTCCGGGCACAGTGAAGCACTGGTGGACTCATGAGCCAGCAAGGAGTGGAGGAGAGCTGACACAGAAGGCAAGTGCTTGCATACAGGCAGGGATTGGCCACCAGCCCTGATGTGGTCTGCTAACAGGAAAGGGTTGTCCTACAGTTTATTGATTTTCGATTAAACAGGT